CTATAGGTCACATGTGCTCTCTGGAGAGACAGAGAGAGACAGACAGAAAGCAAGAAATTATCCCCCAAGGGGGATGGCCACGCTGCAATCCCTTCTCCTCCATTCTCCTCTTGGGAACTTGGGCACACAAGCACACGTGCCCAGCATGAGGTTTAAACCACTGGGTCCGGGACTCCAACCGGTCAACTACACGGGAGTCCAGTGATGTAACCATGACACCATCTGCTGGTCCCCAAATTCTTAATAACTGTTGAATAAGAGGCTGCACATTTTTATTTTCCACCATCTCTCAGAAGTAAGGTAACCTTACCGGTCCTGTAAAGAACACCCACCCACACAGCCAAGAATGGCTACAGGAGCAAAAATGCTTCTGTGCAGCTGAAAAAAAGATTACAAAACACAGACTGAAATTAACCCAGAAGGAATTCCCAGGGCATCGAGCTCCCATAACTTACTGCTACTCCACAGGAAACTTCAGCAAAGAGCTAGGTGATGTTACTGCGCCTCCTAGATACTCCCTGCTGCCCCCTGGAGAGCAGGCTCGGCACTTCCCTCCCCACTGCATCTAGCTGGGCTGATCTGCTTTAGCCAAGGACATGCCTCACTTAGCTCAAAGGCCCTGCACACAATTTAGCATGTTTTATTTGTCTTCCATCACAGACCAGCTGTGTCTCAGACACAGGCTACCCAAGCAACCAGGATCTTCAAGTGACCTGGAGCGGAAATGCAGAGCAAACAAGAGATAAATGCTTTTTCTTTCTTTTTTTTTCTTTTTAAGAGAGTTTTTTTTTTTTAGAGGTTTTTGCTATAGGGCGTGTGCGCTCGCCAGACAGACAGAGAGAGAGAGAGACAGAAAGCAAGAAATCACCCCCCAAGGGGGATGGTCACGCCGCAATCCCTTTTCCTCCATTCTCCTCTCGGGATCTTGGGCATGCACGCACACGCACCAGGCGTAAGATTTAAGCCACCCGGTCCAGGATGCGAACCGCAGTCAACTACGTGGGAGTCCAGTGACATAGCCATTACGCTAATTGCTGCTTCCCTTAAGAGATATTTTTACTATAGAGAAAGTGAGAAATCACTCCCCGCGTCCCAGGAGGGATGGCCACGCCAGAGTCCCTTCTCTTCCATTCTTCTTTTGGGATTTTGAGCATGCATGCACATGCACCCAGCGTGAGTTTCAAGTCACCAGGTCCAGGCTTGAACCACAGTAAGCCACATGGGAGCCCAGCGTCTTAACCACTATGCCATCTGCAGACCCAAATTTTGATATTGTAATCCATTCAAGGAGTTTTCTGTTATGGTGCATCATCTAACTTATCCTGACTACACAGAATGGCCTTGTTTTCCGGGATCACATCAACTTAAAATCAGCAAATTATGAGCTTCTAGCGAGCTCTTCTCTAACTTTTAGAAAGTGGCATTTTTTTTCCCACAAAATATGTATTTGCTGAGTTTATAGCAGGAAACTCCTCTTCTCCCTGAATAATATTCAAACTCTACCTGTTTTCAGAACGCTCGAGGGCAATCTTTACAGCTTCCTTTTTTTAAGAATTATTTATTTGATTTTATTTATTCGTTCAGTCGTTTTCATTTGACCAGAGAAAGACAGGCACTCAGAGAGAAGGAGAGTGAGAAAGCAAGCCACCAGGTCCGAGACTCAAACCATGGTCAGCCATGTGGGAGTGTCCGGCACCTCAGTCACCACACCGCCGGCTGACTCTTTACAGCTTCCTTACCTCCCAGCACCCTACAAGCAACCAATTTGCTCCCTCATCTCCACGCTCTTTCACATGTTCACTCACTCAGTCTTTTACCGAGTACACGGGTATCTACGCTGTCATAGGGATTGTGTTGGGTGCAGCAATGTGTGCACAGACATGGTCTTCCGGGCCAGGAATTCGCTAAGTCCCAAAAGAAGCTCACTTCTCCGCCCAGAGCATGACATCCTTCTAGAAAGAACTCAGTTCCCCCCCTTCTGCTAACCCACCCACTTATTCTGGAGCACCCTCTCCCTCCTCTCTACTTTGACACCAATCATTTTCTTTTTTCGTTAATAGGTTTTTGCCTTAGCGCATGTACACTCACTTGGGAGAGAGAGACAGAGACAGTGAGAGAGAAAGTGAGAAATCAACCCCCAGGGGGTGGCCACACCACAATCCCTTCTCCATCTGGAATCTTGGGCATGCCCAGTGTGAATTGCAAACTACTGGGTCTAGAACTCAAACCACAGTTGTCCATGTGGGAGTCCAGCAATGTAACCACTATGCCATTTGCTGGTCCCACAATTATTTTCTAACTTACCTGTCAATTAGTTATATCCTGCCTGATGGTTTCTGTCTCATCATGGTTTGAGGGCTATTTAGATATCATCACTAAACTATATATACTTTTTTCTTATGCCATTAAATAGCCCCTCCCCCAAACAAAAACACCTTTCTTAAATGCAGATTGAATTAATTAGTTGAAGTTGAGCATAGTGGACTTGTTATATCACAAGTCTAGTTTAGATCCAAAAAGCTCAGACTGAGAAAAATAACATCTCCTCTGATTCAGTCTAAGAAATCTCTCTGAAAAGTAACCTTTGGGGAAATCAGGTAACATTCCTAAGTCTCCGTTTTCTCATGTGCAAAATGAGGCTAAGCACTAACACCGACCACATCGATTATTGGGAGGCTTCGGTGAGTGTTCATGTGTCAAGCACTTAGCCAGGGACTTGGTGTCTGCTATTATTTTTTACAAAGAATGTTTAAATTGTAAATTAGAAAAACATAAATGGATCTAAAATTTTATTTTAGAACCACTAAAATTCTATTCATTGTATATTCTATTAAACAAGTTATTCTGTCTTCTTCGCTTCAGGATTAAATAATGTTAGCATAGACATCCAAGCCAACATTAAAAACAAAAAAAAAATGGGGGGAGAGGTTTTTTGTTTTTTGGGGGGTTTTTTGGGGTTTTTTTTGTTTGTTTGTTTGTTTTTTGCTATAGCACACATGTGCTCGCTGGAAAGACAGAGACAGAGAGATGATAGAAAGCAAGAAATCTCCCCCAAGGATAGGATGGCCATGCCGCAATCCCTTCTCCTTCATTCTCCTCTCGGGATCTTGGACATACACACGTGCGCCCAGAGTGAGTTTAAACCACCAGGTCCAGGTCTGGAACTGCAGTCAACTACATGGGAGGGCAGCAACATAATCATTACACCATCCATTGGTCCCACGAAAAAAATTTTAAATGTATATGTTTTTAAATAACTTACACTAGATAGACTTAATAACGTAGTAATCTTTTTTTCTTTTCCTATAGGGCTCATGTGTTCTCCAGAGAGAGACAGAAAAAGAGAAAGGGAAAGTGAAAAAGCACTTCCCCATGACTGTGTCATGCCACAGTCCCTTCTCCTCCATTCTTCTCTCAGCATCTTGGTATGTGAGCACACACAGCCGGCATGTTTCCCAAGCTGCCGAGTCTGGGATTGGAACAACATAGTAGGTTATGTGGGATCCAGCTGCCTTAACCACCATGCCACTAGCTGGCCCTGTAGTAATTGTTAATGCAGATATTACTAGAAGACACTGCAAAACTACGATCGTCTTTAATTTGACATCTCTCATATTTTTTTTCTTCCTGAAGGTATCATTAACGAATAAAAATAGTATATATGTATGATGTTTTATTAGATTGTTAGAAAAGTCATGATGCATTTTTGCACAGAAAAATACATCATGACTTTTCCAACAACCTAATGTATGTATCTATTGTGAAATAACTACCACAACCAAGTTCATTGTCATTCTGTCTCACAGTCACCATTTGTGTGTGTGTAGGGAGAACTTTTTATTTTCTTTTTTTAGGTTTTTGCCATAAGACACATACGCTCACTGGAGAGAGACAGATAAAGGGAAAGTGAGAAATCTCCATCTATGGAAAATGGCCCTGCCACAATCCCTTTTCCTCATTCTCCTCTTGGGGATTTTGGACACACATTCACACATGCCTAGCGTGAGTCTCAAGCCCCTGGTTCCAGGACTAAAACCGCAATCAGTCATGTAAGAGTCCGGCACCTTAACCACCATGCCACCCACTGGCCCCAGAGAGAACGTTTAAAGGAAAAGAATTTATTAAATTGAATAATATTTTATGAGATGGTTTGGAAAGTAAATTAATGTACATATTATCATGTTAAGCAAGAATTAAATGGCGGGAACCAGCAGTTAGCATAATGGCTATGTCGCTAGACTCCCACGTAGTCGACCGCAGTTCACGTCCCGGACCCGGTGGCTTAAAACTCACACCGGGCGCATGTGCATGCGTGCCCAAGATCCCGAGAGGAGAATGGAGGAGAAGGGATTGCGGCGTGACCATCCCCCCTGGGGGGTGATTTTTCGCTTTCTGTCTCTATGTCTCTCTCTGTCTGTCTGGCGAGTGCACGCGCCCTATAGCAAAAACCTCTCCAAAAATTAAAAAAAAAAAAGAATTAAATGGCATGTTTTATTCTTATTTTTTATAAAAAGCAACTGTTGGAGTTCTAGAGGGGACACACATGGCTTGTCCGTGAGGGGGTCTCCTCAATGCCTCTGCCTCCCAGGCCCTGGTGCCCCTGAGCTCTACAGCCCTGGCAGGTATTGAGAAAAAGTATTGATATTTCCAACACATCCGCTCCTTCCCACGTCTCTGGTTCTGCACTAGGAACATTTCCAAAGAAAAGAGAAATCCAAGATGGGGGGACGCAATAGGCCTTCAGGCCAAGTGTCACATGTACATAGATAGGCTCATTTCATCCTCCAGACGACCTCACATGGTGAGTGTTCCCGTTTTCCAGAGAAGAAGGCTTCCAGAGCCGGAGGCTGTGCTCAGGGTCACACAGCACCAAGGACAAATCAAAGCCTGGGCTGACCTCTACCCATCCCCCGAGGGGCGTGGATGGGCCTCGCACGTGCAAGCCTGAGCCCCACACGTTGAGCCTCGCCTCTCCTCGTGCTTAGAATGGCTGGCAGAAGCGCTGCGACGGGACGGGACGCACTGGAGTCAGCCGCTCAGCCTGGCCGACTTGGCACAATTGAGCTGGCGACGGGATGCTCATGCCGGGTGGCTAAATCATCGGAAGCGGTGAGGCCTAAGCTTTAACCACTATCATTTTAAAGATTATTATGTGCAGTTATTTCAGCTAATTAAACCTTGAGCTCCAGCCAGCTCAGAGAAGAGAGGCCAGCCATCTCTCCGCTTCCACTCTGGCTTCTCAGCCTTGCCGGGGCGGGGGGGGGCGGAGCAGAGCTCATAGCAGGCTGCCGCTGCAGAGGTGAGGAGGGCCGGGCAGAGGTGGAAAGGAGAGGAGCAGAGGAGGGGCGCTCAGTCTCTGCCACCACCTCCCATGAAGAAAATGGGAGGTCCGGCCCAGGTCGCGGGAAATCCCCTGACCCTCGTCACCTGTCAGGAATGGGCAGTTACAGCGTGTTCTTTGTAGGGATATTAGGGAAGAACCAGGCCTGGCTTGAAGTCTGGGATTAATACCAGGGGCAGTGAGTTGGAATCCCAGCCTTGTGGCGGGTAGCCGTGGGTCGAACCCCGGGCCTTGTGGCGGTTAGCCATGAGGATTTGGAGAATCCCGTTTCTTACCTGCATGCCCTCTGAAACCTAGGGCCAGCACATACATGAGGAGGCATGTAACCTAGCGCTATGCCGTCCAGTACAGTAGCCAAAAGCCACAGGCAGCCATTTAAATTTACATTTCCATTCATTAAAATTAAGCTAGATTAAAAATGCAGTTCTTGGGACCAGCAGCTGGCATAATGGCTATGTTGCTGGACTCCCATATAGTTGACTGTGGTTCAAGTCCCAGACCCGGTGGCTTAAACTCACACCGGGCGCGTGTGCGTGCGTGCCCAAGATCTTGAGAGGAGAATAGAGGAAAAGGGATGGCCGTGTGGCCATCCCCCCTGGGGGGTGATTTCTTGCTTTCTGTCTCTCTGTCTCTCTCTGGCGAGTGCACGCACCCTATAGCAAAAACCTCTCCAAAAAAAAAAAAAAAAAAAATTCAGTTCTTCAGTCACACTGGCCACATTTCAAGTGCCCGGCAGGAATAGTGCATTGGACGAGGCATCTACAGGGCTCTCGCATCCTCACGGAAAGTTCTGGACAGCACTCCTGGCTGGCCCTGTGAGTGGGAGTATGAGCAACGACATTCAGCTCATGGCTGCAGATCCCAGTACCACCGCTTACTGGTGACCTCAAGCAAGTTGCTTACTGTCCCCCTTCCTCAGTGTTCTTGCCTAGAAAGTGGAAAATTATGAGACTCAGCTTATGGAATTGTTCTAAAACCTAAATGAGAAATGCATCCAAGATGCTTGGAAAAATGTCAAGCAATGGTAAACACACCATATATATTAATCTTTTTATGGATATATAATAATTATTAATATTTGGAGCCAACCAGTGGCATGGTGGTTAAGGTGCCTGGATGCCACATCGTCAACTACATGGTTTGAGTCCCAGACACAGCAGCTTGTAAAAACATGCCAGGTGTGTATGCGTACATTCCTCAATCCTGAGAGGAGAATGAAGAAGGGCTCGCAGTGTGGCCATCCCTCAGGGGCACCCTACCTCTCTTCTCGGTCTCTCTCTCCCTGGGAGAGCACACACACCCTGTGGCAAGTTAAAAAAAAAAAAAAAATCAGGTCAGCCAAGTTGCATCTTGGTTAAGGCAACTGGATCTCATATGGCTGACTGCCTGATTTGGGTCCTGGAACTGACACCTTGATAAACACGCAAGGCACACGTCCAAAATCCCAAGAAGAGAATGGAGAAGAAGGGATTACGGCATGGCCACCCCCAGAGCATGAGTGTTTTCTCACTTCCTCTCTCTCTTTCTCTCTCTCTCTCTCTCTCTCCTCTCTCTCTCTATTTCAGGCAAGCACAATAGCAAATTTTTTAAATAATAATAATATAAATATTTGCATTAGGTACAAAATGATATTTTAGTGCAAGAATAGTGCAATGATTAAATCAGGTAACTAAGATATCCATCTCAAGCAAGTTTTCATTACTTTGTTTTGGGTATATTCAAAATCCTCTTTTTTAAAATTTTCTCTCACGTGAAAATTTTTGAGGTTATTAATCCTCTCATGAAAAATCCGCACAATCACCGCAGATAATCATGGCAGAATCTTTACTCCTGCGACTTTTTGCCAGCCAACATTGGCCTTTGCAGCCCCCCTGACTTTCTTCATTCTGTTCTTGCGTTCCTTTCGCTGTTTTCTTGACGTCTTTTTCTTCTATACAGGCCATGTCTTGCAAGTCTATGTTTGGGTTCATTTTTCTCCGCATCATCCAAAGAATCATAAAGCATGCCAGAGCCAGTTGTCTTGCCACCACTGACGTGAGTTCTGAGCCCAAACAGAAAGATGACATCTGCTGTGGTCTTGGACATCTCTGCTAGTTTTTCCCGAATTTCTGTCCTAGGTACTGTTGCCTTCCTGGGGTGAAGGACATCAATGACCATTTGTTTCCTCTGAAGTAGTCGGTTGGTCACGAATTTCCTGGTTCGGATAGTTACTATGTCATTCATGATGGCAGTATATCCTCAGGCAGCCAGGGAGGAAAAGAGCCAAAATCCTCTTTTTTTTTTTTTTTTT